GAGCGGTTCTTTTTTCCGGTGAAATAAGGTTGGCAACTTGACAGATCCGATCCAGAGTGGGCCATCTGCTCAATACATGGGGTAACGAACATAGCAGGCAAGGGATGCCATTGAACATCCCTAGTTTGCATTTTCTTTCGACAGTTTCACTTTCATTTCATTCAGTTAACGAACTCAAAGCATTGATTGTACAAACTCTGTAAATGGTAGGTACGGGAACCCATCAAATAATTCCTGAAAGCTGGGGTCCGAAGCTCTAATCCCACTTGAAGAGACATCTGCTTGGCAATATGAACAAATGGGAAACCAAATCGATTTCATGGGAGATGGACTCGCTTTGGATCATTTTTCTCCCATAGAATCAGGAAGCACATGCACTTTGAAGGATTTGACTTGTTCCACAAACTTTCTTTTTTTATGCTGCTGGTGTACAGGACAAAATATTGACTTAAGTGTATCGATCAAGACAAATGAGCAAACAAAGCCGCTTATATATTATCACACTCCATGCCGGCAACCCCATATCATTGGAGCCACAAAAGGTAAACTGAAAGGTGGCTATCTTGCAAAGACAAATCATCTCGATATTTGAAACATTGACCGAATTAAAAATAGGAGTGGTTCCTATAAGAGCGCTGAGCTTGCCACGTTTCTCCAACTGCAGATATCCAGAAGCACCCTTGGTGGGTATGGGATGCCAAGAGCAAGCCAAACTCGGTCGTGGCTCAAAAGTAGCTTTTCATAGTAATAATAATAATAATAATAATAATAATAATAAAGATGATAGTTGTTATAATTCAATTATAAGTTATTTTTTAAAAATTAATTTTTTTAAAATTAAAAAAATAATAAAGGTTGATAATGTAAAGAAAACAAGCCGGGGAATAAGCTACAATTTTGAAGGAAATTCAATGCCTAATTGTACCTTATTATACCCAAAAATAAAAAAAAAATATCAATTCAAGGTCAAATTAAATGATTATTGAATGAATTTGCATAAAACTTAAGTCTAAGGACATAATTAATTTTTTAATAGGCCAATTTGATTTAACTAAAGGCCAAAATGAATTTTAATTATGTTTAAGAATTAATTGGGGTCCAATTAAATGATTTAATTAAGTACAAGGACTTAATTATACTTTAAATGGGTCAAATTAATTTTATTTGGGGCTTAATTGGTGAAAAATTAAGTTTAAGAGTCTAATTTGGGCTTAATTGAGAATATTGAAATTTTAAGAGACCAAATTTAATTTTTACCAAGTTAATTGATTGAAATTAGGGGCCAAATTGTACAAAAATTAAATTTTTGGGGTCAATTCAGGGTTAAATTGATAAAATTCATAGCCAAGGACTAATTTGCAAAAGACACCAAACTATAAGGGCTTAATTAACAAAGACTGAGGGTGAAATTGATAAAATTAAAAGTTTAATAGTCAATTAAAAGTTAAATTGATAAAATTCAAGACCAGAGATCATATTGAAAAAGGCACGTAACTTCGGGATTCCATTTGAAGTTTATTAGGGGCTTAATTGCATTAAATCATAAGTTTAGGGTTAATTAGAGGGTCAATTAAAATAAATTAAAAGCTAGAGGACTAAATT